GTATATGTGTCTGTAAGTATAAGTGCGTGTATTTTTGCATGAAAAGCAACCAAACATACTGTCCATCCCACCTGCACAAAAGCATTGCAACCCTGTGATGATAACCAATTTACTCTGATTGCATTTCCTGATCAACTTCACACTGGAATATTCGATCATGACTCTTTGTCACGAGCGCACACACACACACACACAGACATCGTCACAGATATGCACATTAGTCACCACATCAATTTACAGAGGTGGCTGGAATAAGGGGCAGAGCTTCTAGTCAAACGGGAAAGATAAAATGTAATTAATCACACCATATCTATGAACAACAGGGTTATCCGAAAAATATGTATTAAATCACTATGCGTAACATTGCAATATTAAACAATAGCTGAATCCAGTCATAACTATTGGTACAGTGCACTTGGAATAACTCCCTTTGTTCAGGTAATGAAATCAACACAAATTGGTTCATGGCTCGCTAAAATGCTATGCCTTTTAATAAATCTTTAAAATCCAGATATCATTGTCAAATAATGACGTGATCAACAATTCAGAAAGGGTTAAAGTTATTACTTATGCAGGAAGAATATCCTGAAGAACACGAAGCATCGAGACGTGAAGTTGCAGTCAACTCAAATTTTACTTAAATAAGCAATTAATAATCAGGAAATGCTGTTCATACAAATATTTCTTCCTTCATATATATAATATCTCTCTCGATAGATTAAAGATATTAACATGATATTAACATGAGCTTTATGAGAAATGTCACTTCCATTGAACCAATGATGCTAATCTTTGTATTTGTATACAGTGAGCTTCATTATAACTTAGATTATTAAAAACAATTCAGACAAATTGATAACATAAAGAGACTATTATACTTACATAGTAGATGAGAGAGAGAGAGAGAGAGAGAGAGAGAGAGAGAGAGAGAGAGAGAGAGAGAGAGAGAGAGAGAGAGAGAGAGAGAGAGAGAGAAGAGATGTTTGTATGTTCGCCTCTGAATGGAAGTCAATATGGGTGCCTTTGTATGTTGGCAAAAAAAGGAAAAAATGTATGCAAGTTTTTGAGCAAGAACAAGAAGAAGAGAAAGTGAATGGTAGGATAGGGTGAATATATAGACAGGAAGCCTTAAAAGAGAAAGGTAAAGGGAAAGATAAAAAAGGAGAGACAGAGAGACTAAGAATGAGGGAAAAGAGAGAGAGAGAGGCGACAGACAGACGAACAAGACGGACTCGGCAAAGAGAGAGGCTCGCTCTTAAAAGTTCAAGATTAACGATTTTAAATTCAATTCGTTTCGGAATTCTTACATCTTCCAAAACAGCATTTCCTATTATCTTCTCTCGTGAATTCAGTTCCTCTTTGTCTCTGCAAATACGAACCTTGGTTTTTGCCTTCCTTTCAGCCCTGATGTCTGTTCTCTTCATATTGCTTCTGTTGTCAGGGAATCCGATGCAAAAAGGATAAAAATAAAAGGACGATTACACACNACAGACCCGAAACATGAAGGAAAAGGTGAAAAAGGTAACTGGATTTTACTTTGGCATTTTAAGCTAGCTGTATTTTTCGACCTTGAAGGAGTTTCGCTTGGTACCCCCCCCCCCCTTTGAATTATATCTCTCTTCAGTGGTGAATTTGGCTTGCAAAAAGGAGTGAGACTTTTCTTTTTTATTTTTTTTGTATTTTGTAAGATTTTTTTCCCATTTAGCATTTCTCTTCGCGGATTTTGTTTAGATCCTCTAAAGTACCGGTGACAAAGCTGAAACTATAACAGGTCTGTGTTTGTGTACTCTACACAAATATGCAGATACTTTTTGTTTTCATATTTGTCCTCACTTTTTCAGCAAACTGAACCAACGTCGTTTGCAGTTTATTTGATGTGACTAGATAGCCTTTGTATTGCATATCTTTATTGATCTTCTGCATACAAACACAGCGCCAAAATAAGAAATAAGCCATAGTATCTGAAACTTTGAGCTCAAGAAAAAAAGAAGAAATTGAAATTTTGGTTAAAAAATCGAAGCAAAATATAAATAAAGATCAGAAGATCCTCTACATTTGCAAATCTGTAAAATGAGTAGTTATAAATTGCCTAGAATCACTGATGTTTTTCCTTATTTTATAAATGATAAAAGAATTAACAAATAGTGTTAGAAGTCGAATCTTGTAACGAAGTATGCGTGACGGAATAAGTCTTATTGGAATCATACCACAGAACTGGCGCGTGGTGATATAATGCGTTGAACCTTGTAATATCTATTTCTATTGAAGACTTTCATGTCTACCTCTTTAGGCCACATTTTGTTTTCACTTGATTGAATAACACAGAAAATGTGATGCTGGTTGATTGTTTTCCATCACAGGATACGATAAGCGATATGCATTCAGTGTTATATGCTTTCCTGGTTACCTCTGAAAGCACTGATAGACAGAGAGCTTCAAGATATGGGAATATGAAATATGTAGTATTTTATTGATTTATTGCATCAATAAACTTTCTTAAAATCTGGAAATGAATTTTCCACTGAACTTATGTTCGTACCTGTGAACAGTGAGCGTGTTTGAGGAATTTCATTCTCATTAGCATATTTCGTCTTTTTGTGATGTGTGTTTATCATAAAATTACATTGTTCAATAGGCCTATATATTCTACGAATATATACACAGCATAGCCGGCGTCCCCCCCCCCTCCTTATGGAGGCAGACCAGTGTTTTATTTCGAACGATTTTCGTCCCTATGGCTCAAGCTTCAATCCACACCCCTTGGAACCGAGGACTCTTTACAGTGCACCTAATTCTTTAGTACACATAGAAATCCAATTACTGAATGCCTGAGGGCCGAAATCTTCGGCATCTTGATTCGTAACACCCCCTATTGCGCCCCCCCCCCCCCCCGCCCTTTTCACAACTTCCTGGATCGCCCCTATTCAGAGTCGTAACACAGTTGACAGTTTTCATTACCAAAATTGGCAAAATTGTCATAGGCAAATCTAAGGTCTTAGATCCTTAGATTCAATTCCCCTGACTTAGCTATCACAGTTTAAATCACGAGAACAAAGTGAGAGCGAAAGATAGAGAGAGAGCTAGATTGTGTGTTAATTATTTGCTTCAGGAACCCAACTAGATTGGTCGTTTTCTGTGATGATCGCACCTCAGATGATTGAATGGGATTTAGATAATTTCTCCCGGTAAACAATCAAATTAAAACTGCCATGAACTCCTCGGATATTATAAGTAACTTTAATCAAAATTTTACTTCATGAGTGGCTCCTACTGTGTTCATTTGATGGAACAGAGATTGGAGAAGAAACACGAAATCTGAAATACTGTTATATTAGCGGTAACTTTTTTTTTTTTTTAACAAAAATAGCTCGTTATATTATGCAACTTCTGATTTCAAAGAGTTCAGCCTTATTTGAAATGAAATATGAACTGACTTTTACACCATTAAACTTGCACTATGTCAGGAGAAGAAAAGCTCAACTTCTGATTCAGCATTTAATAATAATATCACACACTGAATTAAGTATAAATCATATGAATGTATACATTGCATTTCCAGGAGATCTGAACCCTCTCGTTTCCTAATCGCAAGCTGTCTCCAGCAGCCGCCCTTCTGGGAGGCCAAATCCATCTTCACATGATACCGAGGAAAACGGGTGCCATCGCGAACACAGCCTCCGTCGCCCCTTTGGCTCAGGGAGTTCCAGGGAAGTCCAGCAAGCGGAGGCGTGTCGACCCGGTGACAGCGGAGGCGACCTCTCCCTGCGGGTCACGCCCCGTGGCAGTCCGAGGGCCGAGGGGGCGCTGCTCACGGTGACGCCGGCAGGTGTTCTCTCTCTGTGTCCTGACGAGTCGTGCCTTTTTGCTGCGGCTCCGAAGGCGTTCGTTTCCGGTCGTGACCCGAAGGACAAGCTGGACCTGAGAATCTTAGAAGCAACGCAGAGGCCCAACGTAGAAGCCCCGTGGCCTGGCTCTAAGCTAATGGCTCACATATGCTTATATGCATGATATAGTGTATGTATGCATGTGTGTCTGTATGCGTTGTGTATGTGTCTATGCGTTTGTGTCTATGCGCTTTTGCGTATGTGTATGTGTCTGTGTACATGTATGTATTGTGTGTTTGGGCGCACGCATGTGTGCTTTGTGTGTGTGTGTGTTCGTAGTGTATGCAACGATTATCATCAATGATGATAATAATGAAAATGGATTAATCATTGATGACATGATGTGAGATTATGGTGAGGATGATTAGGATGAATGAGATATGAATTCAAGATCAAGAATAAGAGAGAAAAAGAGAAAGAATTACGTTTAAGGAGTTCAGCATTTAGGGACCATTTGGGGAGATTAATCGCTGTGATAAATATTTTCCTGCATGACAATCTGGTTCCCTGAATACTATCTGAATAACTGGGTATATCATTTATCAAGAAGTAAATGCCAAATGAAATGGTAACGTGCATCCATGAAGGATGCAAGATGCATCCACAAGAGATAAATTTTTCCGATTAACCCGGCAGGTCTCGTTTGTGTTTAAAAAATGCGGAAATTAGGTGAACTTTTATCACTCAGTTTCTACTCTGTGATCTTTGGAGTATTTTGTAGTGAGTCTCAGATTAAATTTATTCATTTAATAATATTTCAGGGAAATTGTTTCCCGTAGAAAGGGTAATCTTCTGACACAGATATCGCGCACCCAAGAAGCAAGAGAAACAAAGGATGGTTTGGGGTCTTTATTTATCAGCGCGCAAAGACAGACTACTAATCTTGAATGACAGCAGCTTCGAACAGTTAACAGGGCTGTGGATCTGGGTGTCTGAGCCGCAACTCAAACTCGGCTGTTTTCAACTCTGTTTAACCATGGTGTGAACTGAAAGAGATTAGCCGAACGGGCCTAAAATTGACACTGCACAGAAGACCGTTTTGGACCAAAAACACAGGAGCCACAGTGCACGTGAAAATACGCAATCTTGAGCTATCGATAGCAAAATGAGTGTGATGTCGCGTGGAAGAAGTAGCAGTCTCAGCAATCGCTCCTGGACTTGAGCATCGCGGGAGCAGTCTCAGCATCGCGCCGGGGGACCAGCTTCACCCTGATGCCCTCGAAGGGCCGGAGAATGATTTCGCCAACAAGTTCCAGGTCATTCCTCGGAGTGACACTCTCCACGCGGAACTTTCTCAGGACGTGGCTGATCATGACCTTCTCTTCCATGAGGGCGAACTTTTGGCCTGGAAGGAAGGCGAGGAACTTGAACAGAGTGAAAATGATTCTAGCTCGATGTTTCAGATTGATTTGGAAGTACAAGTGGAATGAGATTTCTGTGATAATCTGAAATCATTAGTTAAGTTAGGATAATATCAAAAGCATAGTAATCCTTCTCTGAGCGTTCATGGGCACAAGGTCCGTCCACGTGTACCAACCTTGCATCGTCTCACATGCCTTGCTTTTTTTTGAGAATTGCCTATATTTGTTTAATTCTCCTGTCGGTTTAATATAAGTGGTATCGTGACTCAAAAATGTGTAAAACTGCGTTATTTGTTCAAGGCAGATTACACTCATTAACATAATATCCTTTTTGACAGGCAGTTACTATAACAACAGTGAACAACGAAATGGAAATTTGAAAGTGAAACGACGACAGCAGGATTATAGATGGCGATGGAAAATTAATCTATATCAAAGAGAAAAAATCATGGTGATCGAGAGGTCTTCAGTTCTAGTAGTGGCACACAGTATATATTTTTCTTACTCTTTTCATAAATGAAAAAACGTGGCATATCGTTATATAACAATGGTATATTAGCAAGGGTTTATACTGATAAAGGTGATCGAGAAGAAAAGTAGAATTATACTGTGGTCCTGAATCCAATGGACTCACAAATACATGTATGTATATATATGTATATATATACATATACATACATACATACATACATATATATATATATATATTATATATATATATATATATATATATATATATATATATATATATATATATATATATATATATCCCACCACTGACCTATCCTTCCCGCTCCCAGGTCCCTCGCTCACCGATGCAGTTCCTGGGGCCGGCGCTGAAGGGGACGTAGGCGTACGGGTGCCGCGTCTTGCAGTTCTCGGGCAGGAAGCGGTCCGGGTCGAACACCTCCGGGTTCGGGAACTGCTCGGGGTCGCGGTGGAGGCGGTACACGTAGATCATGGCTGTCACGCCGGCCGGGATGTGGTACTTGCCTGGGTGGGGGGTGGGGGGGCGTTACCTCCGTGCGGGGATGTGGTGATACAGAGCAAGAGATGTTGCTTCTGTGGGAAACATACTTCAGAGTGACAAATATTGCAATGTCGCAAGAAATATTCCTTCTTTGAGGTTTATTAGTAATTCACTGTCTGGAGGAGGTTGGAAAGATAATGTTTAAGGCTTTGGGATGCAGAAAGTGTTACCTCAGTATGGGAATTAGTACTTTACTGCTCGAAATGGGAAATATCGGGCTACTTTAGTACAGGAAATATATTTTCAGAAAGGGAATTATCACTCAAACGCTGGAATATTTCTCCGGAGCGAAAAATGTTCATAATGACCGTGGCAGTAGTAAGACCGCATATTGTTACGATGCTATTATTATTGCTACTGTTTATGATATTAACGTTAATGCTAATGATGAGAAAACGGCAACAATAACACTGAAAATTGTCCCCTTCACAGCCAACATACCAACAGTTATATCTTCTTTTAATTCCCTGCCAATGATTGGCACCGACGGGTAGATTCTCAGTGCCTCTTTGATGCAGTTCTCTGTGTACTTCATCTCCCGCAGATCAGACATAGTTATCGGACGGTCGCTGTCTCCAAATATGCCGTCCAGTTCCTCTTGCAGTCGATCCTGCGAGGAGAGACCCACAAGGAAAGGGTGAGAATCTAATACATGTTTACTTGATCATCCTCTCCTAAACCTGCACTGACTTTGGTCTGTATTAACAGGAGAGGCATCGCAGTACGACCGTTGCTTCATGGCCAATTGCACGTAAATTTTGGTTCGTGTATTGTACCTGTATCTCCGGGTTGTGTCCGAGGAGGTAGAGAGCCCAGTTGACGGCGGCGGTGGTGGTGTCGTGGCCCTCGAACATGAAGGTGTCCACCTCCTCGCGGATGTCCTCGTCGGAGAGCTTGGCGCCGTCCTCCGAGTACTCCAGCAGGAGGTCCAGGAACGCCAGGCGGGTTTTCCTCCCTGGAGGGGAAAGCTCGGTGAGTTACTGCACTGGAAATGTTTATTTCTCTCTCTCTCTCTCTCTCTCTCTCTCTCTCTCTCTCTCTCTCTCTCTCTATCTATCTATCTATCTATCTATCTCTCTCTCTCTCTCTCTCTCTCTCGTTTATTATCATCGTTTATGCTGAGTTCATTCATTTTACAACCTCCCAGACAATCAATCCAGTTCAATAATGGGTAACTGGAAGTGAAGTATCTTGATTAGTACATAACTGTTTTTTTTTTTTTTTTTTTTTTTTTTAATAAGATATTTCTTAACCTGAAGCTTTCTCAAGTTTGTAGCTGCATCAATAACTTATATCAACTCTACATCACTGCATTTCCATCGCCTCTGACCGGCACTGACCCAGATCGTCGGCGCCGGCCTCCGCGTGGCGCCCCCGGCCGTCGCGCAGGGCCTGGCGCCTCCGGGAGATGTTCTCCTGCGAGAACCCGTGCAGCGTCCTGAGGCAGGCGTCGTGCTCCTTGGCGTATCCCAGCGCCTTGAAGAGCACGTTGGGCTGAAGCCAAGGCCGGGACATCCGCATCTGGATGATGTGGACTATCCTGAAAGAGAAGTTTCGCCTGATTGATTCTCTCTCTCTCTCTCTCTCTCTCTCTCTCTCTCTCTCTCTCTCTCTCTCTCTCTCTCTCTCTCTCTCTCTCTCTCTCTCTCTCTCATTGTGTATATGATGAACAGCTGTGTAATATATCAGCCACCTAAGGTCTCTAAATTGCTATTGAATTGGCATCTACTAAGCCAGGGAAATCGCTATTATCATTCCAGTGGTAAAGTCATTACGGAGCTAAACATCTTGTATCGATTAACTTCACAGTCCAAATCACGTTCACTTTATAAATCATATCCAGACTCCCAATGGCGACCAGAGGAGACGCCGTCAAACGGTTCCTTGGAACAAATATGACAAGGACACGAGTAAGAGCGAACTGTACTTGAACGAAGGAACAACACGGAGCCCCCCCCCCCCCCTTTCCCTTTTTTGGACTGTGGAACAAGCATCCGCTCTCATCCTGGATCCTTCACCTGTAAATAGCCTTGACGTATTTAAGCACGTGACCTCGTAATAAAGATGACTGCGACGCGAGTGAGAGCGAAATGCCGACGAAAGACCAAAGCCGAGACTTCCCTTTCCCCGCTTCTTGTATTGCGGAAGTATCATCCGCTCTCAGACTGGATTCCCTCACCTGTAGATAGCCTTGACGTACTCCGATTCGCTGTTGTCCTGCGCGTTGACCGTGTTCCCCATCGCGGTTTCTGGGGAGAGAACAGGGACTTTTATCTGGCTATTTCATCCGTATGAGTATGAATATTATCACTATCATCGTTGTTGCTAGTAGTAGTAGGTAGCAGGTAGAAGTAGGGATAGTTCTTGTAGTGCTATTATCATATTATTATCACTGATATCATTTATACATCATCGTCATTAGCATTAGCATTCGTATTATTATTGTGATTGCCCTACATTATCACCATCATTATTGTGAATATCATTAGCACCAACCCTCTCTAGTGCAAAGAGAGATAATCTGTTGTGGACGTTTATTGAGAATCATTGGGCGGTTTTTCTGTTTAGATTTTGAATTTTTTAATCTTCCTTGTCTTTTTATTCATTCCTTTCGGCTTCTTTCTTCCTATTCTTCTTCTTCTCTTCTCTCTCTCTCTCTCTCTCTCTCTCTCTCTCTCTCTCTCTCTCTCTCTCTCTCTCTCTCTCTCTCTCTCTCTCTCTCTCTCTCTCTCTCTCTCTCTCTCTCTCTCTTCTCTCTCTCTCTCTCTCTCTCTCTCTCTCTCTCTCTCTCTCTCTCTCTCTCTCTCTCTCTCTCTCTCTCTCTCTCTCTCTCTCTCTCTCTCTCTCTCTCTCTCTCTCTCTCTCTCTCTCTCTCTCGCTCTTTCGCATACATACATATACACATTTAAATACACACACACAAACAAAAAAAACATACACATACATATACATATGCGCTCACATACACATGTACACACGCGTTCAAACTCCGGCCGCGCCACCAGGCACTGCCTACCGCAGATGATGTCGAGAGCGCAGAGGGTGACGTAAGGGAAGATGTCGAAGGGCTTCCCGTCGGCCTTTCCGCTCAGCCGCTGGGCCATCCGGGCGCTCTGGCGGTTGAAGACGTCCAGGAAGTCCTCCAGGATCTTGAAGTGGAAGGCGGGCGTCAGGAGCTTCCTGCGGGAGTGCCACTTGGTGCCTGCGGGGAAAAAGAGAGAAAATGAAGGAAAACGAAGGCGGGAAGAATGTAGGAAAACGGAGAAGAGAAGAATGAAGGAAAATGGAGGCGAGCGAGGAAAATCAACGAAAACGGAGGCAGAAAAAAACGACAAAACAGGCGATAAAAAAATCAAGGGAGCCGGAGGCAAAGAGAATGAAGGAAAACGGAGAAGAGAAAAAATAAAGGAAATGGGACAGAAAAAAGGAGGGAAAACGCAGGCGAGAAAAATTAAGGAGAAAGGAATCGAGGAGAATGAAGGAAAATTGATGCGAGGAAAATGAAAGGAAAACGGAAGCGAGGAAACAAGGAAACCGGAGGTGAGTTTCTTCCAGTTCTGCCGTTCTTGGCTGCTCTTGTAGCGATCATCAGCGATGTGGTTATCGGCATTCTTGGCGTCGATGTTACTCGTATCACTATTAGAATTGCTAGCCTTAACAGTATTGTTATTATTGTCGTTATTATCATTATCATTATCATCACTGTTTTATTATCATTACTAATAATTTTTGTATTATTAGTAGCATCATTATTATCATTGTAATGAGTTTAAAAACTTAATTTCTTCCTTTCCCTGTTCTCTAAATGTTGTCTTATTTTCTCAAAGAATGTTGCGAAATCAGCAAAGTGGAATCCACGTTGGACAAGTGAAGCCTAATCAAATCTAATCAATTAGAAAAATGGTTCAACACGCGAAATCTCACACAAAACCAAGCACAGTGCGTTCCCTGGGCCAGCGGTACCGACCTGTGGAGGTGAGGAGTCCGGTGCCCAGCCAAGGGTACAGGAAGGTGTAGTCCCGGCTCTTGTCGATGTGCTTTTGGCTGCTCAGAATCACCTGAAGGGAAAGAAGAGTCACTTACTCTTTTTTTCATATTCTCATCATCATGCATACTATATATGTGTATGTGTGTGTGTGCCTGAGTGTGTGTGTGTTTATTTATATATCTAATCATATATACATTATGCATTATTTATGTATATACCTGTACATATATAAATGCATATATAGATAGATAGATAGATAGATAGATATATATATAGATAGATAGATAGATAGATATAGATATAGATATAGATAGATATAATATAAATATATACATATATAAATATATATATAATATATATATATATATATATATATATGTGTGTGTGTGTGTGTGTGTGTGTGTGTGTGTGTTGTGTGTGTGTGTGTGTGTGTGTGTGTGTATAAAACAAGTATTAGATTCTCTGGCGTATCTGACATCACGTCTATGCTCATCATTCTTTCTTCAAAAGTTCTGCCGGTTTCGCCTATGTAAAATTTTGGGCAATCCTTGCAAGGAATCGTGTAAATACCTGAAGAGGTATCAAGAGCACCGCTAGTTATATTATTCCTAATCAAAGTATTGCACACCGTGTTCGGGTAAGTAAAAGCGATGTCAATGCCAGCTCCTCCTCAAGCTCCTCACGACAGGTTTGATCGATCTGCCTTAGCCACGACTTCTTAGGTCGGCCCACAGGCCTCCTCCACCCAGGGTTGTCTCTTACAGAGACAACCTGATGAGCAGGAAAAGCCTGTGGAAAGCGAGCCAAGTGGCCATATAGCCTGAGTTGGCGATCCCGAATTGTGCAGGCAACAGGTTCAGTGCCAGTCTCACGGTGCAGCCGTTGGTTAGACACATGGTCCCGCCAACAGTAACCCATAATCCGGCGCAAGGACCTATTACAAAAGGCTTCAAGTAGAGCCTCCAAGACACAGGATAATATCCAGGTTTTATTACTGTATAGTAAAACTGGCATTGTCAGGGCCCTGAAAACCCGTAGCTGGGTCCTTCTGCACAGATACTGGCATCTCCAAATACTCTTGTCGAGAGAGTTCATGACACCTGCTGCCAGGCAAATCTGTCTGCTGACCTCTTGGTCTGACAGCCCAGAATTATGAACTACACTACCAAGGTATGTAAAGCTCTCTGTGGCTTCAATGTCCTCGCCACAAGCACGTACCGACCGACCAGGTTCTAGCAAGTCCCCAAACTCTTGGATCTTGGTCTGGGCCCAGGAGACCTCTAGACCACAAGGTCTTCGCATCATTGCTAAATACATCCAGAGCTACCACTAAGGTTTCCAAAGACTCAGATAGATTCAGCAAAGTCAAGGCCAGTAGCCTTGATATTGCCCAGAGTTGCTCCACAGTGACTTTGAACAGTAGCTCTGTCCAGTATCCAGTCCCTGCAAGTGTTGAAAAGTGTTGGTGCAAGAACACAGCCTTGCCTCACTTCTGAACTAACAGGAAAGAAGCTCGACAGGCACTTCCAGTACCAGTATACAGACGCTATTAGTTAATAATCCTTGTTGGATTTCCTCTCAGTCTCAGGATCTCCCAGAGTGATTTCCGATGCACCGTATCAAACACCTTCTTGAGGTCGAACCGAACTCACGGCGGCACTCTACACTGACTCGAAGCGCAAGGATACGGTCTATTGTGGACTTACCAGGAGTGAATCCAGATTGCTCGGGCCTCTGGTGCCTCAGTAGGTGGTCTCTGTTACGTTTCAGACGGATGTGAGCGAGAATCTTGCCTGGTGTGGTATATAGATAGAGAGAGAGAGAGACGCACACACACATGCACACCCACACACACATGCATACACACACACGCACACACACACACACACACCACACACACACACAACATACTATATATATATATATATATATATATATATATATATATATATATATATATAATATATATATATATATATATATATACTATATTATATATATATATATATATATATATATATATATATATATATATATATATATATATATATATATATATATATATATATATATATATATATATATACATATGTCTGTATGTATGCATGTATGACTTAGTCTGTCTTTGACCTCCTGTGTCTGCATCACCAGAGGAAGCAGCTGTTTCTCACCCACCACTCCTGAGCCTGGTTTGCCCAAGTAACTTCCTCTCTCTCGGGCAATTCCTGCGAATTCAC